TTTTTTTTTTTTTTTTTTAAACAGCATCTCACTATGTAGTTCAAGCTGGCTTTGAATTCATTAGGTAGTCCAGGTTGGCCTTGAACTCACAGTGATCCTCTTGCCTCAGGCTCCCAGATATTGGGATTACAGGTGTGTGCCCCCATGCCCAGCTATACATGATATTATTAAATGCTATTGTCTATCTTGTGAATTCTTTCTAGTTCTCATTGATTATAAAATGATAACCAATGATAAAGACTCATAATACAGGTGGAGCCATGTGTGATGGCACAGACCTGTAATGTTAGCTCTCAGGAAGCTGAGGCAAGAGGATCACTGTGAGTTCAAGGCCAGCCGAAATTACATAGCAAGACTATCTCAGAAAACTAACAATATTACAAGATCTGCTTTGTGAATAATCCTGTAAATCACTGCAATAAGATGTGTGAACGAGAATGATTTGTTCAACTGGAAATTCCTCATTATTATTCACAGTTTAGGTAGAACCTTTCATAATGTAAGGTTGTAGCAAATGAGATGATACAGCTGGTACTGATTGCACAAAGCAGTCTGTATACTTATTGCTATAGATTGCATATAGTGTTTGTATATATCGTTCTGAAGATAGCTTGTGTTTTTGTAGTTGAGACTGCGTTTGTGTAACCAAAACACACAAAAAAGATAGTCATCATGTATTCTTGAATTATGAATATTATTTATACCCATTGTAATAATGTAAGATGTAAAGTGAAGTGAAGGACCATTATTTATCTGGGGAAGTCCATAGTTACATAAAGGAGGTTAAAAGGCTGCGTAGGCAGTAGTGAAAAGTTCCGAAAGAAACAGTTAAAAAAACTGAAGGATTCGAAAAGTAAGGTGGGGAAAGAGACTTTTCTTTTTTCTTAGAACTACATGGCTTTTAAAATAGTATGCATTGTTCTGATTTACCAGTAACTTTAAAGTGCTCTTCATAGAGTGCTTTTCTGTCTTTGGCATTTTTTTTAGTCCTTTAGGCTTCTGAAACTATCATTTAAGGATGTAGAGTCAGCAGAACACTTCTGAAATTGCCGAGGAGGTAATGATATCTATTAGAAGTAGTAGTTGATGTTATCCTTTCTTGTAAATATTCGTTTTGTTGTAGTGTTAACAAATGGAGATTTTAAAACATGTAACAGATTTAAATGTATTTCCTTTCAGCATCTCATGTAAGTGGTTAGCTTTCCTCTGCTATCAACGCTTTCTGTTGTGAGTTCACTGCACCTTGCTGCTCTAGAGCTTTTTTGGCTGAGTGACACTACAAATGTTTCAGTGTTTCTTATCCCTTCTTTAGTTTTAAAAATACTGCATGCTTATTACAGTGTGCAACAGCTGCTCCAGGAATAGTAATACTTTCTGATCTTTCATCTACAATGATTGTGTGCAGTGGTTAATTTAAACCCACGTGCATTCTTTTTCTTTGTTTAATATTAAGGATGGAACCCATCACCTTTGCACTGTAGCTTTTTTTCTCCAGCCTTTAAAAATTTTTTTATTCAGAAACAGGTTTTTGCTGAGTTGTCCAGGCTGTGCTCAAATTTGGGATCTTCCTGCCTCAGCCTCCCAGAGTTCTGGGATTCCAGGCACGTGCCACCATGTCTGGCCATATTCTAACTTAATGACCAACTTCTCCTTATTTTATTTTATGTGCTTGGTAAAGGGTCTCACTACGCAGCTTGGACTTGTAGTGATCCTCCTGTTTTCAGCCTTCCCAGTGTTGGGATTGGGGGCATACACCACCAGGCTCAGCATGCCCTGGGGGCAGGGACAGGGCTGGGTTGGCAGGTGGGCCTGGGGATCAAACCCAGGTCCCTGTGCTTGCCAAACAAGGTGCTTAGTCCACTGAGCTATTTCACTGGCCCTTATGACCAACTTTTAAAAAGTCAAACCATTAAAACTTGAAATGGGGAGTGGTTGTTAATTTTTTTTTTTTTAAGACAAGGTCTTACCATGCAGTTCATGAACTCAGTTTTATAGCCTAGGCTGGCCTCAGATTCACAGGAATCCTACTGCCTCAGCCTCCTGAGTGCTGGGATTGTAGGCATGTGCCACCATGCCCAATTGAATGTTAATTAAATCAATCTTTTTATTTTGTTTTACTTTTTAGACAAGGTCTTGTTTTGCAGTTCAGGCTAGCCTTGAATTTTCTATGTAGCATGGGCAACAATCTTCCTGCCTCAGCCTCTTGTGTGCTGGGGTTACAGGCATGCATCACTACACCCAGTTTTGTTTTTTGTTTTTTTTTTTTCTGTTTCTTTATTAAAAGGCCTGAAATTTGTTTCCTGTAAATGTCAGTATAGTATGTTGAAATGTAAAGTACATTTGTAGTAGAATTAGTTGTATGAAGTTTAGTTTCTTAACATTACTAAATCTGCTTTCTGTATAAAAACAATGAGGGAAATACCTGTCTCATAATTGTAATAATTAATGATGAATCTTTTTTTTTTTTTTTTTGCGGAACCGGGGATTGAACTCAGGCCTTTGCACTTGCCAGCGAAGCAGTTATTCCACTGAGCCATCTCCCCGGCCTCTGAATCTTGTTTTTTAAAAAGCAAATAAAATTAGAAATCTAGACTTGCTAGTAACAGCTGTCATTGGAGTATGTGCTGTGTGTCAAGCACTGTATTGTTTTGATTGTTGCTGTTGCTTGCTTTGTCTTTCAGAGACAGTCCAAAAATGTATATAATTGAGTGCTGTCAAGTTTGTTGTGGCCTCATTAACTTTTTCTTAGGACCATTAAGCAAGCAAACAAGTCTACATAAATTGTCAAATATTGTTTTCCGGAAAAATAATATAGTAATACATCTGTTTGACCTTTTACTGGTTATACCCCTAGAGTAAGGACTACAGCTGTCATCAATGACAAATTTATGTTTTTTATAATAGAAATTGAACTCAGGACCTCACGCTTGCCAGGCAGGCACTGTGCCACTGAGCTATATCTTATATCCCCAGCCCAGGTTCATGGTTTTCCTGAATAGCACTTACGGATTTTCATTAGGGCGTGCTCCCAGTACTTGGCTACCTTCATTGTGGGGTATTAGTACTTGTGTACCATACATCTTACTTGTTTCTTTTTCATCCCTTTGCGTTATTTTTGAAGAATGGAGTTGAGAGCAGTGGAAATCCAGATAGCTGTCTCTCCGTGGTATCCAACCTTTTGGCTACCTGGACTGCGTTGAATGAAGAGGAATTGTTCTGGGCCACATGTTTAATGTTGTTTATAATATAGTTAATGTGCATAGTCTATAGCACTTCCTTTTTTATATTTCTCAATTTCAGTGTTTAAGTGGGCAGCATAAACATAAAACTAATGGGATAGTTGACCTTTTTGTGAAACTAATGCATCAGTGCCTGGTTTGGTGGAAGCAAGTGCAATTATCAGTGAGTTCCCAAAGTGGTCTTCAGAAATTGTCCCTTGCTTCTTCTTAAAAATAGTTGTGTACATGTATACGTACTGCCAAGAAGTAATGATATGAAAAAGGCAGGATTGGGAAGTGAGGGTGTCGTATAGTGTAGTAGAGACCAAGCAAATTTTTCTTTGACTTGTGTGTTTGTATCTTATGTTTATGTCATCTGAAATGGAGTTGTAGAGATCCTGAAAAAAAAATTTTTTTTTAAATATTTATTTATTTATTTATTTATTTTGTGTGTGTGTGGCCAGCTCAGCCCACCAGGGGGCGGGTCTGGCTGTCATGTGGTGCTGGGGGATTGAACCGCGGTCCCTGTGCTTTGCTTAGCTTAGCTTGTTCCAAGTAGGTGCTTTAGACCACTGAGCCATCTCACCAGCCCCAATCCTGAAAAATTGATAATTACTTTTTAAAAATCTTGAAACTTATTCTTAAGTTTCTGTTTTGGGTTTTGTTTTATTTTGAGACAGAGTTTCATTGTTTAGTGTAGGTTGACCTTGAATTTATGTATCCCCTGCTGGCCTCAAACTCACAGTGATCCTCTTGCCTTATCCTCCCCCTTGGAGGGATTACAAATGGCCATGCGCCACCATACCCAGCTTTGTTCTCAAATTTTGAATCAGGACAGAAAACAAAGCAGGACATGGTGGTCCGTGCCGGTAATTCCAGCCCTTAGAAGTGAAGGCAGGAGGATCACTGTAAGTTTGAGGCCATCCTGGGCTACATAGTGAGTTCAAGGCCAGTTCATAGCAAGACCCTGTCTCAAAAAAAAAAAAAAGAAAAGAAAAGAAAAGAAAAGAAACTAGGAAACCAACAAACTAAACAAACAAAAAACCCAAGGCTGGTGGAGTGTGGTGGTGCAGGTTTATAATCCTAGCACTCAGGAGGGTAAAATAGGAGGATTGCCATGAGTTTAAGGTTTACTGAGCTGCATAGTGAGTTCAAGCCAGCCTGATCTGTTGTGACACTTTGTCTCATAAAAACAAAAAGAAAGCAAGGCTGCAGTTTTTGCTGTTTACAGAACTTTGATTAGCTAGTGTGTTAAAATACAAGAAATTATTTGCTATAACTTGACTTTATTATAGTGTAGGTTTTATTTTGAGCATTATTGTTAAAAACACAGCATAGATATATTGATTCCCCCCCCCCCCCACACACACACATTGAAAATCCATGTTCCAGGCTAGAAATAGCTCAGTGGTCAAAGTGCCTGCCTGGCAAATGCAAGGACCCAGGTTTGATCCCGGATACCATGTGCCGTGCTGCTGTGCTGGCCCCAAACTGGTTGTGGTGGTGCACACCTGTAGTCTCAGTGCTCTGAAGGCTGAGATGGGAAGATCACTGGGAGTCCGTGCTGCATAGTGAGACCTGTACCAAGTAACTACAGATTTAAAAAGAAGAAAAAGAAGAAAGAAAATCCATGTCCAAATTTTTAAAATAGGGTAATCAAATATTGTACAACAAAAATACTAAGTCTGCAAGTCATGTTTCCTCTTCAAGTTTTGGCACAAATTTGCCTTTTTCTTTTATAAATGACTTGATTTTTATTTAGCAGATCATAAAATCTTGACCTTTTATTTGATTTAGCCACCTTCCAAAAAGTAAATTATAAATCCATAAATCAGGATCCATACCTTCAGGGAATTTGTGATGATTCAATTCCATGGACATTGTGACATTCACAGCTTGATTACATTCTGTACATGATGTTATAAAATCTTGCAAATAATTTTTTTTTTTTTTTTCTGTATTTTAGGGAAGGGTCTACAGGGTGTTGAGAGTCTCACTACTAGGTCAGACTTGTAGTGATTCTCCTGTTTACAGCCTCCCAAGTGCTGAGATTACAGGTGCACACCACCACACCCAGTCTCAGTTGCTGTCTCAGTGCCCCCCACCCCACCCCCGGGGTGGGGTCAGGGCTCTGCCCACTACAGCAGGCCTGGAGATCAAACCTGGCCCCTCTTCCTGCTTGTAGGCACTTTATGCAAATAAATTTTCTTGCTGTGTCATCAGTGATTATTTCCTCAAAGGTGAGTTGCCAGCAGCAGTTGTATCATCTTCCATTAGTTTTGTAAGCCACAGGTTGGGCTGGGGATATAGCTCAGTGGCACGGTGTGTGCCTCGCAAGTATGAGGTTGTGAGTTTGGTTCCCAGTATTAAAAAAAGCTATACCTACTTTGTAAACCCCCTTTATTCCCCAGCCACTGTTGGGCTGCCATCTGTAGCTGTACCAGACCGACACATTGACAAAGCTTAGAGAAAATCATTTTAATAAATAAATTTCTACTGCTTCATGTAAATCAGAAGATTTAGTTGTATCTTTTTTTTTTTTTTTTTTTTGTACCAGGGATTGAACTTGACCTTGCATTTGTCAGGCAAGTGCTTATTCTACTGAGTTATCTCCCCAGCCTCAGTTGTGTCTCTTAATGGTAACCAAAGAAACCATTTCTTCAGTGACACTATATTTGTTATCATTACTTTAGCAAAAAACGGCAGGGTCAGCCATATTGGTAGTTATCTGTTGCCAAAGCATGAAATTTGAAACCAGCAGCTTTACCTTCAAAGCTCTATTGATAGATTTTTTTGGTCAGTTTCTTTAGTTTGTCTGACTATAGTCTGGCTAGAAAAATGATTTCAGGAAAATCTGTTTATTATCAATATAGATTCTTTTGGCCTTGCTTTGAATACATTGCTTAATTAAGAGTGGAAACCATTGGTAAATGGCTTTGGTTTTTTGTTTTTTTTTTTTTTTTTCCAATCAGATTTGCTACCACATTAAGTTGTATAATTAGAGTCCATTTGAGTTGTAACTTAAAACAGTGGAGATGGCAGACTTGTTTTCAATTCTGCTGTTTTGTCTTTATGAAACATTCCTTGATGTACATTAAGTTTGGCAGCTTGTTTTTGTTTTTGTTTTTTTTTTCTTTTCAAAGTTTTATTGATAAACATATAGCAATGAGACAGTTTCAAATCAAATCGAAAGTACAGTTTCAACAAATAATACACTGCATATATTCTTCTTAGTGGTTAATTGCTATACAAGATGCAGACTTGTGATCCTACTTACAAACACCATTAGAAAAAATCATTCTATTCATTAAGAGAATGCAACTATATATCTATCCCAACCACTTTGAATACACAGATACAAAATGGACATTCATAGTTATACCCCAATTTTTTTTTAAGTTCCGTTGTTGAATATTATAGGTGTGTAAACACAGCAAAATATTCTAAAAGAGTACAGAAGCCCATAATAGCATTGGGTCTTCTGTTTAACTGGCAATGTCAGAAATTATTGACATGAGTCCCCCACAGCTCAACTTAACAACATGGCTTTACTTCCTATATTTCATCTTCATACTTTTCTACTGGATGGTTAAGACCAAGGTAAAGCAGAACCTATGTAACAAGAGTTGTAGCTTTTTGGTTTGAGAAGGTCAGTGAAATGCCCTCAGGATTTATCCTGAGATCCTGTACCTCAGACTGTAGAACCTTTGTCAGTGCAGCCATGTGGATGAGTCACAGCCATTGCTTGGCCAATGTGCTCTCTGTGAAAGCCTGAGAGAGTGTCTTCTCCTCATGTGACTCTCCTTAGGCCCACTTCACGTCATCGATCAATTTCCTCTTTGGGGCAGCTTGTTTTTGGATATGATGTCTTTTCATGTTGTAATGTTTGAAAACTGACACAATTTTCTTATAAATGAAACAGTGCCTTGTCTTGACGAAAGAGAAGACTTATCTGTTCACTTATCACAGGACACACTTCTTTCATCCACAGTGTCTCTTTACTTGGCCTTTTTTTTTTTTAAGATAATGTTGAAGCCGTACTGGTAAAATTTTACCAAATAAAAATAAAAAATTTACCAAAATTACTAATTTTCTAGTATTAACAACCTTGTATGTATAATTGTAACAAAATCATGAACAAAAGGCTTTTTCATTTGTTTTTTTGAGACAGGATCTTGTTGTGTAGCCCAAGCTGGACTCAGATGCCTAGTGAATCTCCTGCGTCAGCCTCCTGAGTGCTGGCGTTACAAACATAAGGCTATGTATACATTTTTGGACTTCTTATGCTCCACGGCGGCTAAAACTTATTTTAACAAATTATTTTTCAAAATAACACAAACCCAAGAAAACTTTCATGTCTTAAAAAAAAAAAAAGCACATCTTTTTGTAGGCACACACACGTGTAAGTAGGTTATATTACTATCTGTAGTCTGTGGGCTTTAATTGCAGGCCCCACAGAGCTCCAGTAACTGACACACTCCACGTGGGTTTCCGTCCCGCTGACCGTGTGGTGAGGCCAGAGATGAGTTAGCCCCTTGCAGCTTGCTTCTGCAGCTTTCCATTCCTCCTGTGCAGTCCCTGCTCAGAGACTACATCTGAGTTGTGAAGCAGTGTGAAAAGTTACATCATGTTTGGAGTTTACAATACTGTGGAGCCATGTTACTAGCTGTTCTCTAAAATTTATATACAGTGTACATATTTTTTCTTGTAAAACAAAGAACATTTGACCAATGGTAAGTTAATATTTAATCTCTGGTCCTTGAAGTTTTTAGTCCTCCCTTTTCTTCTTTTGTTCTGTCCTTCGCTGGTGATTGAACCTAAGGAGCATTTGTCTATATCTCCAGCCCTTTTCATTTTGGGAAAAGCTTTTGCCAAATTGCCCAGACTGTCCCCAAACGTGAATCTCTCCCACCCCAACACTTTTCCCCTCAGGATAGCTGGGTTTACATGAATTATCCCTTCAAAAGCAGACACATAGTAGTGCTGCTTTTTTTTTTTTTTTGTTTGTGAAACCAGGAATTGAACTCAGGCGCTTGTGCTTTCCAGACAAGCATTTATTCTGCTGAGCTATCTCCCTGGCCCCTGCATTTTGGTTTGAATTCTCTCTTCCTTTTAAAAGGAATGATAGGGGCTGGGGAGATGGCTCAGTAGGATAAGTGCTTGACTGGCAAACGCAAGGATCTGAGTTCAATCCCTGGTTCTACCAAAAAATAAATAAATAAATAAAAAATAAAAGGAATGATAGGGCCCCAGGAGATAGCTCAGTAGAATAAGAGCTTGCCTGATAAGCACAGGGTCATGAGTTCAATCCCCAGTATCACAAAATAAATAAAAGGAATGATAAAACAGCTTCAAAACTGTTTCATACCTTATATTTCAGTAAGTTTTAGAAACTGCTGGTATCATAATTAGTAATTATTTACACTCTCTGATGACATAAGGGGAAACATTTTTAGAGTTGGAAGAATTTGTTTATAGTCTATGTTACATCTTTGTATTCCTCTGTAGAACTTGCATTTGGGCATTCTCTTGGATGATTTATCACCGTATTACACCTCCATCCCCACGCAAGTGTGGTGCGCTTTTTATTCTTCATTTGTTCAATTTGCAGACATTGGTGAGTTTCTCCTGTTGTCAGGAGGTCCTGGTCCCTAGATGCTGAGGATAAGGTAATTGTGTGCCCTAGAGAACCTCAGTGTAGTCATTGAATCACATATATGAGCAGAATAAAATTTAGCAGGGTAAATGCTAAAATAAAAATACGAAAAGTGGCTGGTAAAAGTAGTCCTGTCAGGCAGGGTTGACAAACCCTGTCCGTGAGGAAACAAGCTTTCCAGGCCAACGAAGTAGCAGAAGGCCTTCTTATCTTTGATTAATCAGCTTTACTGCTCATAGAAACTCTTTGCATACTTCTGGATTAGTATTAGTATTTACTTGTTTTGCCACTTATAACGAATCAAGTGGGTGGTGGTAAGTTAGGGAGGGGAGGGTGCAACTTCTATGTCTCAGTGCCTGCTGAGAGGGGAGGAGTCAAGCTTCAAGAAGGGCAGGCTCATGTGTCTTTTCCTAACACTTCTGTTGTGGATAGTGAAGACCTTTAGGATTCACCATTAATGTTGTGTAACCTTGTGCAAGTCATTTATGTGATGCTTTAAAACAGGAGGACTGAAAAAAAAACAAAAAACAGGAGAACTGGATTAGACAGGCCTTTCCTGTTAGTTTCTTAGTGTTGGAGGCTTTGAGAAAGTGACTAAGTTTGTGAACATAGGACTAAATGAAAAATAGATTTTTTTAACTGGAACTTCACACATTATTGTATATGGGGATTTTTTTTTTTTTTTTATGTTTTTGATACAGGGTCTCACTATGCAGCTCAGACTTGTGATCCTCCTGTTTTCAGCCTCCCCAGCGCTGGGATTACAGGTGTGTGTGCCACTGTACCCAGTCTCTGTTGTACATAGTTTGAATTCCTGGACTTTTAGCCATCCTTCTGAATGGAATAAGAGCTAATACATGTTTATCTTTGTCCCTTTCTTAATAGGCTAGTGGCAAGAGCTGGCGCTTTAGAAGCCCATGTGCCGCTTAGCTGTGTGGCCTTAAATAAGTCATTTAATCCTTCTGAACTCCTCTTCCAGTTCATAAAGCAGAAAGGATAACATCTTTTCCACATGAAAGTATCACACACACAGTATCTGGTATGTGACTGGTTAAAAAAGGTATAGTTTAAATCCCACAAATTTGAAAGTTAGTATGGAATTTGATGTTTCATAATATCCAGCCTACATCTGTGAGATGAGCCTTTTTTTTTTTTTTTTTTAACTGGGGATTGAATTCAGGCCCTTGCGCTTGCCAGGGAAGCGCTTATTCTGCTGAGCCACCTCCCCGGCCTCAGCCATTTATTTTATAATGGGAAAAAATACTGTTAGCTGGCCATGACTAAAAAGCAAACAAAATGAAAGTGTTGGTGAGGGCATACTGTCATCTTTGCCTCCCATGTAGCATCCTCTCCTGAAGACCGAGTGATGCTGGAGTACTTGCCGGTCTTACCAGAATAGTGGAGGCGGTGAGATCCAGTCCTGCTGGTGTGCACCTCATGGAGTATGTTGCAGAATCTAGTGGAAGCCAGTGAAGTTAGGAACATGAATTTTAAATTTCTTTGGTTACTGAAGTGATTAAAATTTTCCCTTTTTCTTCTTTGGTGCTGAGGATTGAATCCACAGTTGTCCAAGGGGTGTGTGTGTGTGTGTGTGTGTGTGTGTGTGTGTGTTCTATCTACCCCCCCCCTCCCGCACCCTTGAGACAGTCTCACTATGTAATTCAGGATGGTCTTGAACTCACTATGGAGCCTGGGATGGCCTTGAAGTCTTGAGTCATCCTCCTGCCTCAGCCTTCCAAGGGCTGGGATTACAGGTGTGCACCACCTTTGTTGGGAAATCCAGGGCTTTTGAACTGAGCTATGCCCCTGCTTTTCGGTTTCATTTTGAAGCATAAGTGTGCTAAGTTGCCCAGGCAAGACTCAGATTTTCGGTTTTCCTGTCTTAACGTCCCATGGTGCTGAGGTGACAGACATACACCCTGCACTCAGCTCAGTGATTACATTTAAGTTGAAAGTTACTAGGATTGTAAATGAGCTGGCCTTATTTAAGCAGTCTGTAAATAGAGGGGTTATAATAAAGTATTGATCAATATTGCTCAGTATTTTATTGGATACTAATGTTTTTACGTTTTATTTTTTCTTCAAGCAAATGGTTATGAGCCTTAGAGTTTCTGAACTTCAAGTATTGTTGGGCTACGCTGGGAGAAACAAACACGGACGCAAACACGAACTTCTCACAAAGGCCCTGCATTTACTCAAGGCTGGCTGTAGTCCTGCTGTACAAATGAAAATTAAAGAACTCTATAGGCGGCGGTTCCCCCAGAAAATCATGACGCCTGCGGACTTGTCTATCCCCAATGTACATTCAAGTCCTATGCCAGCAACTTTGTCTCCATCTACCATTCCACAGCTTACTTATGATGGTCACCCCGCATCGTCACCGTTGCTCCCTGTTTCTCTTCTGGGACCTAAACATGAACTGGAACTCCCACATCTTACATCAGCTCTTCACCCAGTCCATCCGGATATAAAACTTCAAAAACTACCATTTTATGACTTACTGGATGAACTGATAAAACCCACCAGTCTAGGTAAGATGCTTGTGAGTATTTGGTTACGTCTGCAGGGTGAATTTTAGATTTTAATTTGACCTGATTTATTATTCCTAATGAAATTTGCATTTGACACGAGCACCCAAATGATAAAACAGATCTTTTAATTTTAGATAGAATTAAATAAATCAAAGCTGTCTTTTAAAGAGAAAGAAAAGGATGGCACAGTAATTGGTTACTTGGCAGTCAGGTATGGTGGTGCGCGCTTGCAGTCCCAGCACTCATGAGGCTGAGGCAGGAGGATCACTATGATTTCGAAGCCAGCCTGGGCTACATGGTGAGTTCAAGACCAGGCTGAACTGCATTGTGAAATCCTGTCTCAAATAAACATGATATAGATAATAATAATTACTGACATGATATAGATAATAAGAGATTTCAAGACTATGAACTTTTAAAGAATATTTTAGTTTGTTAATATTTTACAATAATCTTGATAAATTAAAAATTAAAATCAAATAAATCACTACAGTGTTCTGAATTTAGTACTTAATTCTCAGGGGTTGATGGTATCTGAAATGAAAGAGAAATTTTGATTATTTTGATATGTGAATGATTTTAATTATCGTGTAAAATATGAGCTTTGATCTGTAATTAAATGTTAGCTGATTTTTTTTTCAGTAGCTGTGTGCTTTACAGGCACATACACGATTATGGTTAAATAATATGAATGCTTGAAATTGCATTTGCTGTGCTTTTAGTCCTTTGATCAGTTTGTCTGGCATAAGCCTGGCACTCTGGGAGGCTGAGGCAGGAGGGTCACAAGTTATAGTACAGCCTGAGTGACTTTCTGTAGCTCTGTCTCAAGGTATAAAGTAATCTGGGGAACCAGGCATGGTGGTGCACACCTGTAAGCACAGCACTCTGGAGGCTGAGGCAGGAGGATTATTGTGAGTTTGAGGCTAGCCAGGGCTACAAAGTGAGCCCAAGGCCAGCCTGAAATGGTATCTGAAATGAAAGAGAAAGTTTGATTATTTTGATATGTGAATGATTTTCATTTACACACACACAAACACACACACACACACACACACACACACACACACACACATACTTCAGTGGATCAACTTGTATTCACTTGCTTTAATACCACCTTAGGTAATATGGGATAAAATCAAACCCGTATGATACATCTTTGGTGTGTTATATTTAAGATATCAACTTCTGAATACTGATTTCTTGTTATAATACCAGTTCTCAGAAAATTATGGGCAGCAAGCTAAAGCTGGCTTATGGCCTGTTTTTATGTGGGTCTGAGTAATAAAAACTTTCAGACATGTTCTTAAAGAGTTGCAAGGAAAAAACAAGACAGAAGCAGAGAATATGTAACAGAGACCATGTGTGCCTCCAAGGCCTACAATACTTACTGATTGACTCTTACAAAAATTGTTGGTTCCTTTCAAGTCATTCAGCATTTCAGTTTTGGGGATTGATGAGAGCTGTGAACATTTTTTTGGGAGAATTTTTGGAGAATATGTACTGAAATTCTGTCTTGGAACTAGGGAGTGTTTAGTTTTAAATATGTTTAGCAGAACTTAGCAGAATAAGTGAAGATATAGAAGTTATGTCAGATAACTTGAATTTTATATTATTTCAAATTGAAAATGACCATAAAAGATAGTACTTGTTAAGAAGCTACTTGTTTATAAAACACATTGTAAAAAATTAAATTGCCAAAGCTTGTTGGCAGGTTTTTTTTTTTGTGTGTGTATTATGCTTATTTTCACAGAAGGGAATTGTGTGCTTAGTGTTCTGTGATTTTTTTTTTTCTTACTCAGTTATTTAAATATCATTTCTTGTGTGCATATCTCCCATTAAGCACCATATCTATGTCTGTATAAGATCCTTATGTGTCTGTATGATATAGTCTAGCTAATTCCTTATTAAAGATTGTATACAATTCCATGACTTTTTTTGGGAGGGGGCGGAACTGGGGATTGAACTCAGGCCCTTGCGCTTGCCAGGCAAGTGCTTATTCTATTGAGCCATCTCCCCGGCCCCAATTCCATGATTTAAATGAGCCTTTTATTAAAAGATAAATTTTTCTTACTTTTCACTGTCAGAAACATGTTGCAGTATTATTTGAAAGGAAAAAATGTTGATAGTTTTTATGTTTTTGATTGTAGCTTTCAAATTTTCTTCTGGTCTTATTTAACTTGTGTTTTGTTTTGATTTTCACTAATATAAATTTCAGTGTGACACTAATATAAAGTGTTAGTGTGGTTAGATGGTGTTTAGTGTGTATATCAGTTGTGTTGTGGAGAACAGTGATGCAGACTGGACACGATGCAATGTTATATGGATAATGCTTAGAAAACAATAAACTTGGTTTACTAAGATAGTTTGATTGAAAATTTATGTTAGATTTTTATTTGTAGTTATCCATAGTTGTCTTTTCACTGTTCATGCCTGTGCAGGCATTGTAGTTCCTAACCCCCAGCCCCCAGTGAAGGGGATTCAATCAAAGCTTTTCACAATGAGCTATTATCTTAGGTACCTCCTCCTTCCTTTTTTCCTCTTCCTCCTCTTCTTCCTCTTCCTCCTCCTCTTCCTCTTCCTCTACTTCTTCCTCTTCATCTTCTTGTTTTTGTTTTTTTTTTCTTTTTCTTTTTTGAGACAGGGTCTTGCTGTGTAGGATAGCCTGGCCTTAAATTCACTGTGTAGCCCAGGCTTGCCTGGAACTCTACCAAACCTGGCTCCTGCCTGGTTTTTAAATTGTTAGTTGGAAACAGGGCCTTGCTAAGTCACCTGGGCTAGACTCAAACCTTTGATCTCTTGCTGTACCCTTCCAAAGTGCTGAGCTTATGTTGTAAATCTTTTTGTAGCTGGATGTGGGTGATACACATCTATAATCCCAGCACTTGGGAGGCTGAGGCAGGAGGGTTTGCTTGGGCTACATGGTGAGTTCAAGGCCATCTTGGACTACAAGACCTTATCTCACAAAACAAACACCAAAATACTTTTTCTTTTAATAATTCAAGGTACCTTAATACATATGAATGTTAAAAATGTGTAATAATGATGGTAAACATGTCTGATTTTTTTTTTTTTTCCTAAAGAGATACTAGTGGTAGGGAGCTTATAAGCAGTTATGGGTTTAGGGCTGAGGGTATAGCTTAGAAGGAGCATGTGCTGAGCGTGCACGAGACCCTGGTTCATTCCCCAGTACTTGGATACTGAAGGGATGAAACGCAGTTACTGCTGTTTTTGATGTCTTTCTACTGTACCCATCCCCTCTCTCGTTGACTGTTTTTAAAAGGGTAGCAATAAATTTAAAATTTTCCATTTTTATTCTTTATCTGTAAACTTCCCAAGAACACAATAATTTTTTGTGTGTGGCATTTTGAAGATTGTCATAAAATTTTGCATGTTCTTGTTAACCATCAATATGTAACCCCTCACATTTATAAAATTTGCTGAAGTACTGAAATGTTTTACACATTTATTTGTTTATTTGAGACAAAGGTCTTTCCCTATAGTGGTAGTCCTCATTACTTGCGGATTTACCACTTGGGATTTTGCCTGCTGGAATTTATTTGTGAGTCTGCAGTCAGTGCTCCTCTGACTTTCACTCTGTGTGCAGAGTGGTGAGACTTGGAGCTGCATGCTGTGCGTGTCCACGCTGCGCTCCAGGAGGCGACAGCCTGCCTTGTTCTCAGCCTGCACACTATAAACGTGTCCTTGTAGATGTGTCTAGTGTGGTGGGATTTTTGGTTTGGATTTTCTTCCCCCTCTTTCTGTTCTTGATGCTTTTGCTATTTTATGGTGTTCCCAAGCATTGGGCTGAAATGTTGTGGAGCGTTGTGAATATAGGAGGGTGTGATGTGCCTTAATGCAGGAGGTACTTGTGTGAGGTAGGCTTCACACAGTCAGGAGATTATTTATGTGTCGGTGGCAGGGAGGTCAGTGTTAATGCATCAGTAATGTATATTAAATAAAGTGTCTTCAAATCAAAACACAGGAAACAAGGATGTGTATTGATTGGCTGATGAAAATATTAGGACCAGAGGCTTACAGGACCCTAACCCTGCCTGTGTTTACCCTAGTAGCAGTGATTCCATAGTCACCGTTTCAGTGGCTTTAGTGAATTTATAGAACATAACTGCTGCAAATAACAATAATTGACTGCATGTAAAGTATAATTTGATTTGAATACCACCTTTCATGAATAAGACATTTTGTGGTATATATTCACACAGAATTACAAAATGAATGCATAGTATAAAATTGTCACACAGAATTACAAAATGAATATATAGTATAAAATTGTTTGGTATGTAAATAGATTTCCAATTTTTTGTTATCATAAAATTAAAATAAAAGCAAACATTTTGATGATTCATAAAAAGATCTCACCATAAAGTAATTTGTGGCAGTTTGTTGACTCAGTAAACATTTGTTGCAATAGAATGCTTAGTGAATTTGAAACTAGTAGAAAATGATTGTGGGTAATATGGGGAGTTGAAGATGAATATAAAAAGTTATGTTTTTATAAATTATTTATTATTAAGAGATTATTTCTGTACTTCATTAAATGAAGTGGCCCTTGCCAGTTTTTTGTTTGCTTGCAGTTTTGGTTTTCTTTTTCTTTTTTGTTTTCTTCTCTTTTTTTGTCTTTTTGAGACAGGGTCTTGCTATGCAGTTCAGGCTGGCCTTGAGCTTACTTTGTTTTTTTTTTTTTTAATTTTATTTACGTGTGTGTGTGTGTGTGTGTGTGTGTGTGTGGCCAGCTCAGCCCACCAGGGGGCGAGGCTGGCTGGCATGTGGTGCTGGGGGATTGAACCGCGGTCCTTGTGCTTTGCTATGCTTGTTCTAAGTAGGTGCTTTAGACCACTGAGCCATCTCGCCAGCCCCTTGAGCTTACTTTGTGGCTCAGGCTGGTCTTAAGCTTATAGTGCCAATCCTCCTGCCTCTGCCTCCCATTGTGGGATGACTGGTGTGCACCACCACTCCTGGACACACTGTGGAACTGAATTTCT